CTTTCTGTCTCTCTGTCTCTCTCTGTCTGTCTGGCGAGCGCACGCGCCCTATAGCGAAAACCTCTCCAAAAAAAAAAAGAAAAAGAAAAAGTGGTTTCTTTTGAGGATACACATGGCTGGAAACAGCTAGAAATCCAACAAGAACTGACTGATGTTGCCTAAGAACCTGGTATTCATTTGTTTGTTAATGGACCAGGGTGTAGCTCTTTCATTGTGTCTCTGTTTATCTATGTGCAATCACTGTATTCTAGTCCTCCTCTTTCTTTTTCTCTTTCTCTCTTTCTTTTCTTTCTTTCAGTTTGACCAGAGAGGGAGAGAGAGAGAGAGAGAGAGAGAGAGAGAGGAAAAGTGAGAACCCCCCCAGAGGGGATGGCCGTGCCACAGTCCCTTCTCTTCCATTCTCCCCTCTGGATTTTTGGCACGCAAATACACGTGGCCAGCATGTTTCACAAGCTACCAGTGCTGAACTGGAAGCATGTAGTCGGTGTGGGACCCAGCTGCCTTTACCTTCATGCCACCTGCTGGCTCCACTTTTTGCTTTTTTAGAAACAGCTTCCTTGAGGTATAATCTGCATAATAGAAAATTCACTCATTTGAAGTGTACAGTTTGGTAAATTTTAATGAATTTGGGGCTTGACTGAATACAACCATCACCACAATCCAGTTAAAATACCCCTTGTACCCATTACTGCATTATTTGGTCTCTTCCTATCAGACATTTGGATTGCTTCCAAGCTTTTGCTATTTCGAAGAGGGTTGCTGTGGGGCTGGCAGATAGTGTGGAGGTTAAGGCAGCTGGACCCCACATGGCCCACTGCATGGTTTGAGTCCCAAACTCGCCTGCTTGAAAATCACACCTGGCGTGTGTGCATGAATGCTCAAAATCTCAAGAGATGGAATTGTGGCATGATCTAGTGAGCACATATGCCCTATAGCAAACTAAAAAATGAGTAAAAGAGAACAAAGAAATAGTGTTACCGTGAACACCCTTGTGCATGTCTCCTGGTATGTATGATCAAGAATGACTCCAGGGTTATTATATTCCTAAGGATGTAATTTCTGGGTCATGATGGTAGGGATGACTTCAACTTTACCAGATAATGCCAAATTATTTCCCAAAGTGATTATACCAATTTGTAGTTACAGAAATTTGCCAACTGCTCCATATTATGACAACATCTGATCTTCAGGGAGTTTTGGAGTGATCAGGATAGATCCTGTGTGGGTTTATCACTGAGAGATACGAAGACCATGACTTAAGGGAGAAGAGACATTCAAATTTAGTAGAGTTGAGGGTCTTGTGTTTTCTTTTTAAATTTTACTTACTTTTTATTCACAATAGAGTGTGCACAAGCATGAGAGAAAGAGCTGTGCACTGTAACAAGGGCGATGCCGTGACTCCCCTAGCCCAGCCCTCCAGCTCATAGGATCTTGGGCATAAGTGCATGCCCAGCATGCTCCAGGCCAACAGGGCAGGGCATCTCAGCTCTGCAGTTTAGTATGCCACCTCCTGTGCCACTGAGGCTGAGCAAGCAGGTCTTAATTATTTGGGGAGATTTTTTGCTATAGGGTGCGTGCGCTCACCAGAAAGACAGAGAAACAGAAAGTGAGAAATCACCCCCCAGGGCGGATGGCCATGCCACAATCCCTTCTCCTCCATTTTCCTCTCGGGATCTTGGGCACGCACGCACATGCGTCCGGTGTGAGTTTAAGCCACTGGGTCCGGGATGCAAACCGCGGTTGACTACATGGGAGTCCAGCAACATAGCCATTACACCAACTGCTGGTCCCTGCGGGTCTTATATTTTAAGCATTTTCCCTTGGCCATTATCCCAGTGCCTCAGGATCATAACGAGGCCAACTCTTTGGTGATCCTTATCCTCTCTTCTTCTGTGAGAAGCATTGTAGCAAAGTAGCTAAGCCCATGGACTTCACAGTAAGGCTGCCTGTGTTCAAATCCTGTCCTTTCTACCTTAACTGTCTAACTCTGTGTAAGTTATTGTGTGATTTAGTTCATTCATCTGTAAGATGGAAATGATAGTATCTTTGGCAGTGTTAGTAGATACATGAAGTGCTTAGAATAGCTCCTGGCTGTTAAATTAATTAATTAATTAATAACATTTTTTACCTCTCAAAGGTACAAGCTCTCAGGAACCTCCAACTTTGAAAACTGATCACATCAGGCCAGCTGTGGGCCTGCGCTTTGAGGTGGGGCCTGGTGCAGCGGTCCATTCTCCCTTGGCCACACAAAATGGCTTCCTGCATTTCTTGCTTCGTGGCTGTGACCTCGAGCTGTTCACTTCGGTGCTCAATGGCCTGGGGCCCTTCTTGGAGGATGAGGAGATCCCGGTGGTGGTCCCCATGCAGATCGAGCTCCGCAACTCCAGCATCACCCTAAAGGTGAGAGGAAGCTTTGGTTTTCACACTGGATTCTGCCCCACACAGAGTTCTGGCAGTAACAGCTGTTAGCCTCTTCCCTTGTCACTGTGAGATGTGGCGAGGACTGAGTGAGGAAATGCATGTTAGCGTTCTGTCAGTGCTACAGTGGTGAGTAATGTGTGGCTGTCAGAAAGACCCTCGCCCTAACCCTGTTTTTGGCGTGCAGCGTGACCACTTGCAAGTTGTCAGGCTCTCTGACCCTCGGTGTCATCGCCTCTGCAACGGAGACTTATGCCTCTCACAGCTCTCGTGGATGCACGGTGAAACATGGCATAGAACTGCTTCCGCTAGAACGGCAGCAGCACGGGTTGTCACCTGATTGCTGTGGGCCGGCTGAGGGCATCATGTGGTTTCCCTCTTTCCTGCAGGATGATATCCCCCCCATCTATCCAACCTCTCCAGGCCCTATCCCCATCACTCTGGCCATGGAGCATGTTGTGGTGAAGCGGAGTGATGACGGTGTGTTCCACATAGGCGGTGAGTCGGGCTGTCAGCCTCCTGGCTTCTCTGCCTTCCTCCCATTAAGTGAATAGGTGACAGCTATGCACTACCTGGAGGTGGGCAGCAGTTCGTCACTTGGAACTTGTACTTTTGTTTTTTCCAGCTGCTGCTCAGGACAGACCACCAGTTGAAGTACCTAGAAGTGAGAAGAGGCAGCCCCCCAAAGAACAGGTGTCCCTGGTGCCCACAGGAGAGAGTTTTGGACAGCAGGTGAGGACTTAACTGAACAGACTCTTCTCAAAGGTCTTTGTAGGCTGGGGAACCAGCAGTTAGCGTAATGGCTATGTCGCTGGACTCCCACGTAGTCGACTGCGGTTCGCGTCCTGGACCCGGTGGCTTAAAACTCACGCCGGATGCATGTGCGTGCGTGCCCAAGATCCGAGAGGAGAATGGAGGAGAAGGGATTGCGGCGTGACCATCCCCCCTGGGGGGTGATTTCTCGCTTTCTGTCTGTCTGGCGAGCGCACGCGCCCTATAGCGAAAACCTCTCCAAAAAAAAACCCCTCCAAAAAAAAAAAAAAAAAAGTCTTTGGAGGCTGTAATTGCAGAAGCTGCTAAAACCCAGAGGGCTGGAGTCGCTGCCCGTGCTATGTGCAGCTGGGTGACCTGGGCTCCTTCCACTGAGCAGTAGCCTCTAGAAGCCCTGGCTAGAGGATTTAATGCAGAAGCTGGAGGCGGATGGTGGCTGGACATAGACTTTGCCTGTTACCGTCCTTGTAACTGAAGAACTCTGGAGAGAGACTTAAGCTGCTAGATCCATTGAGGGCCAGCAGGTGGTGTGGCGGTTAAGGCACTAGACTCCCATGTGGGCGACCACAGCTAAAGTCCTGGACCTGGCGGCTTGAAAACCACACCAGGCATGTGTGAATGTGTGCCCCAAACCCCAGGAGAATATAGAAGAGGGGATTGTGGTGTGGCCATTCCCCCGAGGGGTCATCTCTCACTTTCCCTCTTTATATGCCTCTTTGTCTCTTTCCTCTCTGGCAAGCCCATGTGCCCTATGGCAGAAACCTCAAAAACAAACAAACAAACAAAAAAACAAAGAATAAAGCATGCAAGGATGGTGTGTTCCACATAGGCGGTGAGTTGGGCTTATCAGCCTCCTGGCTTCCCTGCCTTTTGTATGTGTGCCAAAATCCTGAGAGAACGGACTGGGGCATGGCCATCCCCCCTGGGGGGTGACTTCTCACTTTTCCTCTCTCTGTCGCCCTCCAGCGAGCACATGCACCCTATGGCAAAAACTTAAGGGAAAAAAAAAAGGATCTGGTTGAATTCTCTAGATTATTGCCATAACCTGTAGTTTCTTTTAAAGAATTATTTAATTTCATTTATTATTATTAGTTCAATTTGTTATAGGGCATGTGTGCTCACTAGAGACAGACAGAGGGGAGAGAAAGTGAGAAAACAAGCCACCAGTTCTGGGACTCTAACTGCAGTTAGCCACGTGGGAGTCCAATGCCTTAACCACCATGCCACCTGCTATAGATTCTTTTGCTGGGATTCTTCCTCCCTGTTCTTATTGTTGTGAGGTGGTAGTACCGTGTTCATTAACTGTGAACTGCTCATTGTTTCTCAGGTGAAAGAACTGCCTTCCTTACAAAAAGAACTTATAGAAACTAAACAAGCATTGGCCAACGCCAACCAGGATAAAGAAAAACTTCTTCAGGAGATTAGGAAATATAACCCCCTCTTTGAGCTCTGATAGCAGTGCTCAGCCATCCGTGCCAAGGAGAGGGGTCACCAGCAATAGCACCACCTAGGACAGAGGCGCCGTCTGGCGTTGCATACGTCTGCTGAGGATCCGGAGGGACCGGGAGTGCTCCATCCACTCCGAGTGTGCTTCCTACCGGCTGTTCTATCGGGGATGGAGGAGAGGGCAGAGCGGATCCCATCCCAGGAAGTTGGGGAGCTTTGTGTGTGGCTTGAGCATCTTGTCTCGCCTGTGAGAAGCCGTCCGGCCCTCTGCATACTAGGTGGAATCTTCGCAATGCTCCAGGGCCATTTCCCCTCCTGGTTTCACGGGAGACATTTGCTTCCTTTACGCCTGTGTCCACAAGTGAGTTTCCACAACCTTGGTCACCCACAGAGCCACCAAAGAGTCCACGTCCCAGAGCTTCCTGCAGCAGACTTGAAAAGTCCTTGGCCCGATCTTTGGCCATGACAGTGGAGTGGAGCGGGAATAGCCCAGCAGGTGGGGGAGGGCAGGCGAGTCACAGGAATAAGGGAGCCCTAGACGCTGCCCTTTTAGAAAGGGAACTAAGCCTCTGCCCTCATGGCTAAGCTCACAATCGGTTGCAGAGTTCAGCTTCCGCACACTTTCATCGCCATGATGCTGGGTTCGTGGGCCAACAGCCCTCTGTACACAGCTGATTTGCCACGTAAACCCAGGAGAAAAGAGCCACTCTGAGCTGGGCTGAAGGTATGCTATGGCAGGGGTCAGCGGGGGAGACTGGTCCTGCCCCCTTCCACAGCCGCACCTGAGCGCTATCTCCTCCGTCACCCTGGGGTCCCTGGCGCATCTGCTTTCCCAGAACTGACTTTCCGTCTGCCAGTGCTATCCTCAGCACTCGATGGTCTGGGAGCTAAAAGTCTATTTTAACATTAACATAAACATCTCAGCCCATTGCCTCTTATCCCCCCGTGTCATTGGGGCTTTTTAGAATCATGTTATTTTGACTTAAGTAAAAAAACAAAAAACAAAAAGCCTTCAACTCAACCAGGTTACACTCTCTGCCATATATACATTTTTAAAAAGCTATTTTCTTCCTCTTTCCTTTGATTCTCCTCCAGCTCGCCGCCCTCATCCACACCACTCTATGATGTGCTTCAAGCCGTTGATTGGCTAGAAGTGCTAGCAGCCACTTCGCCTTACTTGGCAAATGCAAGTATTGATTTAGGGATGTTATGAAGCCTCAAGCACCTATGGCCTATTGAAGGAAAGGGAAAATGCTTTCTCTTATGGGAAATCATGCTTGACTTGTATACTCCAGATTTTTGAGCATAAAAAGAAACATGCATTCATGAAGGAAAGATCTAGTTTGTTCAGACCTCCGAAGGACTTTCATGAAGTTTTTTCACTAAGGCGATTTTTAAAACACTAGTTACTATGAGATCATGGGAACTTGCCATGCTTAGGGAAGAATCTAGAAACTTAGATGTAACGAAACATCCTTATGGTGAGAATGTTAACAAGGGAAGTTTTCTAAGGGTTGATGCTTGGTTCAGCCGTAAGAGTTTTATAAATGACTTGAAAGTAGAATTTTAGAATGAAGTAAAAAGTCACTACTTCCAGGAAGTGAAAGGTAGACCGGAAAGAGATTTTAAAAATACAAAGTAAAACCACAGAAAGGTCACGAACAGGGCTGAGTACGCAGGAAAATGACAGGGCGGTCCAGCGCAGTGTAGGTGTAAGGCATTTATGGGAGCAGCGGTGACCGGAATGGCAGAGAGCTCTGTGAGAACTCGGGAAAGAAACTGGAGCGTTGCAGAGCGGGAGGGTCAGTGTGCTGCTGGGACTAAAAGCCTAACAGCTGGTGAGGCACCTTCAGGAAGGATGCTCGGTGACAGCACGGACTGACAGCAACTCGTGGTTGTGTCTTAGCCAAATCATCGGTGCATTTTTCGTGACCTTGTTTACACGTTACATGGTAAAGGGGACAGGTCCAGAGAAGGGCAAAAGTGATTGGGGGTGGAGGTACTTCCATATGAGGGACAGCTGTCACATGCCTTCTTGGGAAGGTGAGAGCTGAGGGCAGTGTCTGTCGAGTATCTAGCCAAGAGCAAGGACCTGGCCCTGAAACGCTGGCTGTAGGGCTCTACCTCATGGCTTTAGGTAAAGAAAGTGCTTCTGAGAGACAATTACGGATCTCATCCAAGAAATGGTATCAGCGAAATGTATACCTGGATGCAGAAGGCTTAGGAGGGACATTTGATGGTTTCCCAAGAGGAATGACAGCGAACTAGGGCTACTTGGTGATATGCAGCTGAGAAGACAACCTTGCCCCTCCACAGGTCACCCCGAGTGCCGTTTCAGAGCGCTGTGCCCTTCCTGGGTCACTGGTCCTCTTCACTATGGCATTTCTAATGTTCTTGAAGGGGACCCAGGAGTTGGAAAATAGACGCATCCAACCATAGGCTCATGCTCATTGGCTTAAAATCACACTCCTATTTCCCCCCCGCCTCTCCTCTCCTGTCCACCATATCCCTCTGGCATCTGTCCATGCAAAAAAAAAAAAAAAAGTCTAAGAGGCATTGCCTGGAACACCGTCACCTTAAGCTTGTGCTTGAGGGGAGGCAACAGACCCTGTGAATATCAAGGCTAATAAGCCCTTCAGGGCCCGAGCTCAGTCGGCTTCCTGGACTCTGCCAAGGAGTCTAGAGTTCTTGTCCATGTTGACAAATGGAGTCCTAGAATTTCTAACTTCATGTGGCAGCTTTGGCCATTGTGTCTTGAGATCCTCCCTCAGGAAGTGGGGTGGGGTCGTTATTCCATATTTTAATAGAAATCATCTTGTTTGACTTCACACTCCGGTCCATGAGGGCAAGACTTCATAATGGAGGAATGTGAACTGGCGGTAATCTTCAGGCTGAGTAGAAAGGAAAATAATGAAAAGAAAAAGCAGTAGTGTCAGCCCTTTCGGACTGCTTGTAATTTCTACCTTGGAGCTGCAAGACTCTGAACAAGAAATAATAATACCTCAAGAAAACGTCTGGAGTGATAGCATCGCTCTCCCTCAGAGACTTCAGCCACCACCGCACAGTCCCGTTTCAGCCGGGAAGCACGCACAGCTACGCATCATGTGTGGTCTCGACTTCCTGTCTGCATGATGTACCAGGGAGATGCTGCAGTACCTGTGGACTGGAGTTCCATCTCTCGGGTGGGTTACAGGATGGCTGGCAATCTCAAATTCCATTTTCAACTCCCTGGAATAATCAACCTAGTTCTCTAAGACAGGAATGGGTTCTGTTCACATCATGGCTGCTTTTTACAATGGATCTCATTTTGTCATGACCTCCACCCAGATCTATGCCCCCTTTTTCATGGTTGTAGAAGGAATGGTTCTGTGTGTGAAACATGCAAAGGATAAACACCCCCCCAGTCCTTCACACGCCCCATGATTTAAATGCTTCCACTTCATCATTTACATTAGTTTCTCCTTGGGGGAAAACAGAAGGGGACTACAGAGGAAGTAATGTGAAGTACTGCGAGTAACACGGGACGTCCCACTCCAAACCTGTACGCTGGCTCCCATCCCCCTTTCTAATACTTCCCAAACTTCCACGATGTAGTGAAATCAAGAAACTTTGGAAACAACTGAAATTTGCTACACAGCTAGAATGATGACACCTGTTTGAGAAATGTAAAAGCTGTCCCCACCTTGTGACTTAATCAGTCGTCGAGTGTTTAAGAGAATCATTAAGGGTGATGCCCTGCCTTTGCAGACTAGGGCCTTCACCTAGTTATTCTCCCACCTTCTGCCGGACAGGTACGGAGAGCCCCATTACTGAATGGGGATTATTTTCCCATGGCATAAGGGGGAAGAACCTTAACAGTGAGGCTTTTCTGACTTGGCAACTGCTCTTCTCCCCTTGGTTGTTAAGCTTCGGCCTTCTCCAGTATCTCTACAATAGGTATAGTTCCTATAATTGTTTAAAAAACTGCTGTTAGAGCTGAGAGGGGATCTTTTGTCAGTTTGTTTTTGGTCGAGATTTAGCCTACCTTAGAGCATTTCCCTGTGGAATGCCCCACTGAAATGTCTTCTCCATTGGCTAAGTACATGTTTCAAGCCACGTGTTTTAATGTAAAATACTAAACGTCAGATTTGTCCGACTTCTTGAGTCTGTTTCCCCCACTCAGGGTGCTAAACAGAACTGGCATCTTTACTAAGACATGCTCAGGAAAGCTTCAAAAGAGAAATGATTCAAAACCTTTACTCGCTGTGACACTGAGTGATACGGAGAAAAGAATCCTTGGGGGTCACCGATCACATACAGGTAGCCTTATTACTGCTAACCACTGTCAATAATGGTTACTCCATTCCCTCTATTTGAGGAAAACTATGAGAATGTATCTGAGGAACTGGAATCCTAGTCAGTATTGGGAAATTTTAATGTTGCAATATCTCATCAAACTTTGACTGTACTGGTTCTGTGAACCACCAGAATAAATGCAATTAAACTTACTAAAGAGTATTGTGGTATATTTGTTTATAGGAATCTGAACTATATGGGTTCTTACAATGTTTTTAATAGCGTTTGAAGTTTTTTTTTTTTGAGATAGTTTTTTGTTTGGTTTCATTTTATGAGATAAAATTTTAATGGTGCCAGTAGAAAATGGGAAGGGCTCAGATTTTCACAAAAAAAGCCAAGACCAGTTTTATTCAGACTCCAAGAAAGAGTGATAAAACCTTTCCATTCCAGCTAGACAGAAAATGAATATGTACACGGCAAGATAGAAATAGTTTAGTGATTATTCACCAAAATTCACAAGAGAATCTTAAACGTTTGCTAGTACAAATTATTCCACTACCCATTACTACCATGTAATCACCTTCTGGGGAGATGGCCATGCTGTAATCCCTTTTCCTCTTGGGATTGGGGGCATGCACACATACATGCCCAGTGTGGTTTTCAAACTGCTGGGTCCGGACTTGAACCGTGGTTGGCCATATGAGAGTCCAGCGCCTTAACCACTATACCCCTACTGGCCCCACCACCCTTTCTTTTGTAATATCACCAGCAAAATTTCTGGCTCTTTCACCTACTTAAAAGTAGATATAAGGAACAACCTAAGTCTTACCAGCTTCAGGCTGCAGTGTGAACCTGTCAAAGCTCTCTAGGAAGAATTCTTTTTGAAAGCAGATCACCTGTTCAGAAGATGCTTAAGGCTCCTGCACCTTTCTTCTTCCAGCGAGCCAAAAGATAATGAAATACTTCAGAATGCCATAAGAGATCCCAAAATTTAGTCAAGGCACATGAAACAGGCTGCACGTCATCTCGGTGTGACAAATGTCAAGAGTTTTGAGAAAGACATTAAATTCATAGAATCCTTGCAGGACGGATCGTGAAGCACCAGTACCTAAGTTCACATTAACAGGAAGTCTGGAACCAGTACCTCTGTCAGAAAGGGGCCTTTCTAGGCTTTGGTTTAGAAGAAGATGATCTTTCTGTGCTTCGAGTTGGGGATCTGCCCCTTCGACTTTAACCTCCGAACAGCCTCCCTCATGTGCTTGGGTTGTAGTGGCGGTAGTTCTCCCCACTTCTCACACACATCCAGTGCTAGGAGGCAAGGAGAGAGTTCCATTCATTATCACACAGTCATTAATTAACACATAATCCCTGTGGGTTCTGAAATTCTCATGAACCCTTCTTAAACTTGGTTCTTCTTAAGAGAATGCTGTAAAATGTATAGTAGTACAGCTTTAGTATAAAATCCTCTACTAGGCTTTATCATAGGCAGCAGTTTAAAACAGTTTAAACTCCTATTTAAAAAAATAATTCTGGGCCAGCCTTGACGCCTAGTGGTTAAAGGAGCCAGATCCACATGGCCAAATGCATAGTTTGAATCTTGGACCTGGTGGCTTGAAAAACATACCCAGTGTGTGTGTGCCCTAAATCCTGACAGGATGGAGAAATGGAGAAGGGCTTTCGGCATGACCATGCCCAAGTGGTGAGTGCCTTTTCTCTCCCTCTTCTGTCTCTCTTTGCTGAGTGAGTCCAAACACCCTCTGGCAAATTAAAAATAAATAAAGATTTCATCAGCTAGATATTAGCAATGGGAAATGGCCAGGCTTTTTACTCAACAGAGGGGCAATTCTTAAGAGTCACAAAGTTAGCCCAACTCCTCAGCACACCATGTGGGTCAGCCCTGGTGATTGCTTTGCCTAATCTTCACTACTGGCAGCAGAAATGAGCAAGGTCCCCTGGAGAAAAAAAGTCTGCCCTGCTACCCTGGGCTGAGGATAGGAATAAAAGAAGGGTCTCTCCTAGATGGTTCCTGAGCCCCTGGTATTTCAACTCTCAGGGAAAAACGGTCATGCTGTCCTAAAATACAAGGCTCCCCACTTGGGTAACTTGTACTGCAAACAAACTCCTGCACATGCTTTAGCAAGGTCCTTGGGGGCTGGACGGTGGCACAGTGTTAATGCCACCTCTGAAAGGCTGAACTATGTGGAAAGGCTCCAGGTCAGTGTCAGAGACCTCCCAGAAAAGCCAGGTGTGTGCCCATGATCTGGTGCTGGCCGAAGCCGGGAGGGCATGGTGGATCACAGCATGAAGACCCCGTTGGGAGTGCCTGTCTCACTGAATGAATGAATGAAATGAATCAATGAGTGGAATAAGACCACTGTAGGTACAATCCAGTGTCTGTAACCGACACTACTCACCTTCTTCTACCACCTCTCCGACGAAAACTTTGGAAATACCAGACATAGCAATAACGACATTCTGAGACACAGAAGTGCCAGTGATGGACTGGATCAGCTTGAAAGAAGGACAGAGACTGTGATTAAGATAGTAAAATACTGCCTTTGGAACACAGTACCGACACCTGAGCGCTCCACTGGACAACCGTTTACTAAAGGCTGGGCGATGAAAACAAGCATTCGGGTGTGTAATGACTTCCTGCACAGGCTGAGGCCCTGCTCCTGGCACACAAAATTGGAATTGGTGAGATGGTTGAGGGGCGTGCTACCTTTGCTTTCTTGCCTAAAGACTCCACCAACCTGTCTAACACCTGACTTCAGAATGCCAATTCAGGAGTTCTTGAACCAGATTCAGTTCCAGTACGTGATGGAAATAAGGTGTGCTTTATCCTTACCCTTTTAATGGCTGCCTTGGGGAAAGCTGACCGGCGATACATCTCGTAACGGTTCAGCTGCTCTTCGGAAAAAGAAGAAACCAGGATTCTAGACAAAGATTCAGTAATTAAGTTGGTTTATAAAAATAAATGCTCAAAATGTATCATGAAGTCACAAAAACAAGTCTGACAAAACAAGGAATCTCAAGGAGTCAATGGCATTAGGCTTGGTACTTATGAGAGATGGAGATAAACCATTTCTACTCTTAGGGAATTTGAAAAAACGTGACATGCAGGCCGGCTTCATGGAACAGAGGCAATGTGCTGCTCAAGAGAAGGTGGGGAGAGACGGTGGCCCTCTGGTTTTGTGGTTAAGAGCCACACACAGCTGACTGCGGTTAAAATCCCAACAAACCAGGTACAAGTACATGCATGCCAGGATGGGGCATGACCATGCTCCACTAGGTGGTGCCTTCTCTTCCCTCTGTCTCTCTGGTGAATGCTCTTGCCCTCTGGCACTTGGGGCCACAGGTGGCGAGGTGGTTAAGGGTGTTGGACTCCCACAAGACTGACTGTGGTTTGAGTCCCAAACCTAGAGGATTGCTTTTTCACTCCCACCCCCAACATGCTGTCCCTATCTGCTCATATATATATATATAAATAAATAATCTGGATATACATGTATGTATATACATATACATACATATGTGAAAGAAAGTTAAATAAAATAATTCTTTTTTTTTTTTTTTGGAGAGGGGTTTTTTACCATAGGGTGTG